TTAGACTGTGTAACGGAGGTTGATAGGCTTAAAAACGTAAAGCACGTGTCTAAAAAAGCATTCAGTCTTATTCGGTTAATATTTCATTGCGGACGAGTACTTTCCTTCGTTTTGTTGTGAAACAGATGCGGTTTTTGTGCAAGGGCATCCCCGATAAGACAGGCGGAATGCGATGATTAGATAAGAGGAGCAAGCCTGCGTGTAGTAGAAAATACGTAATGTAAGAGTAATGTAAGAGTAATCAAGTTTGTCATTGAGTCTTAGTGCAAAGTTACCCAGACCAGTGCACTTATGGACACAAAATTTGAACTGTCTGAGGTCTCCAAACAAAGATATAGAAAGACGAATCCATATCAGAAATCGGCAAGGCGGGGTGACTACCATCAAGTAAAACTGAAACAGGCAAAATAATGCGGGAAGTGTGAAATTGCCTCGGTTGGTCAAGAAATGGGCCTTCAGTCCCAGAATCACACGGTGTTCTTTAAAAAAGTTTTACAGGCAGAGCACCATGAACCCCCCTGTCCCAAGAAATCCACCCGCAAACTCTGTCAAGAAGAGGGGCACACTGAAGTATTTCATCGTCGACGTCAGTATATAATCAGCCTTCCCATAACATTACACAACCGGCATGTTCTCTAGTATGAAGTACTACGGCCAGGCTATTATTTTGAAGCAACAAATAGATACTACTGTAAATCAGTAAAGCCGCGTTCACTGTGTTGGTTTTCCGTGTCTACCTGAGAACATTCAGCCTGCATTTGAAACTAAGTAAAACAGCACTTTATGAAGCATTCTTAATCTGAGGCCATGTTCCTCCAAAGGTAAAAAAAACACAGAGGTTTCAGGAAATTGGTTCTGTACATGGTCACTGGGATCAATAAAAGTGGAAGGATGTATTGGTGCAAACAAGATATTGTATAGTCTCCTGCAGATGTGACTAGTGAAGCTCAGAAGATGAAAGTACATTCAACTTCAAAAGCGTCTGTATCTTTGACAATTACATTCATTTACGTATAGATTTGACGGGGGCTCACCTGGAACCCAACCGAGTGGTGTATTGCGTCTATATAGCGTGTCGCGATGTATCGAATACCGTGCCAGGTAGAATATGAGACGGCCTGGTGCAGCACACTCAGGTGCCTAAAACAACATTAGGAAGGGGAGACCAGGATGGGTTCCAGGTCAGGCTCCCGTCTTAACCAAACTGACATGCAAATAAGCGTATTTGTTGAAATCTGTCCAATTCCGGTTGACGGAAACTCGTAGAATGCGCCGACCTGGTGAGTCTCAAGAGGGGCAAAACCGGTCGTGGACTGTCGAAGAATTTTCAGCAACCTTTTGAGTAGCGCATTACGAATATACATGTATCACGATATCTTGAATATCGTAGCAACTGAAACATTATGCGACCTAATGCAGCACATTCACCTACACGGAAACATCACAAACGGATGTTTCAGCCAGGTTCCAGGTGAGTCTCTTGTAGAACCAAATTATTTTGAAAATGAGTGTATTTCACTAATTTCGTGCAATTTGGTTTCAAATAGAGCGTAAGGTTGGTGGAAACTCGGGGACTGCGCTGTCGAAGAGTTTCCAGCACCCTTACGAGTAGTATATTACGTCCATCAGCATATTTGTTTAAAAAGATTAAATAACGACATTAATCTCCGGCCTAGGGATCAGTTTCTCCTGGTCAAAAGAATATTCGCCAGCAAAGGGGAAGCTCTGTCTTCTTCGTATTGTTCACTTAGCCAGCGTTCATTTGCTGTTGCCACAACTGGTTCCATTTGTTCTCATGCGACAACTTATCAGAATTGCTTATAAATTCGGAAGCCATGACAGATGTGCCTTTTTGCAAATAATGGGATGAGTTAATCAGCAATACAGGATGTAGCAAGCCTGAACGTTCCGATAGAAACATCAAATGTTAAAGGGACAGAACTATCCAATTTACCGAGCTTAAAATCAAATGGTTAAGTGCGGAAAATGGGAATTATTGGTGCAAAATAACAGAGCCCTGCGTAAAACACGTCGCGCCTCTGGTTGTGAACACGTCTCGATTATTGAGTGCGCAATCCATCTTTTTGTACTGCAAGAATGACCTCTTGGTCACCTGCAGCCTCTCGACAAGTTGGTCTCTCCAGACACAAGTGCATTACATCCAAAAGTTGGTAATTTCAGCAACGATGGAGCAGGACGATTTGTTAAATTGGTGTCATTCCGGTAGCTTGAGAGGTTCTCTGCTTTGACTGCTTGGTCAATCCTCAGTGATTTCCTATGGGTTGCTGTGGCTGTATTTTACTGGGAAATTCTATTTTAAACACAATACAGCCAACGTTTCTGAAGGCAATACTACTTTTAGTTTGAAAGTAACTTTTGGAAGGTACCCAACATTGCTCATTCAAACTGAAAAAGTTTGTACGGAATCCAAAAAATATCTGCTCTGTGCTGTACTTGAGTCAGCAGAAAAGTGAGTCAAAATAATTCGAAAGTTTCAGCCTGTAATTTTCAGGGGTAAAGAAAACAGGTTTGGCAAGATCTATTTACTAAAGTCAGTGATGAATGCAGCAAACACGCTGAAGTCTAAACCCGTATAACCTGAAAGTCGATGACAAACTTCATCGGTCGGTTTTTACCGACACCCTGTAAAATCTTCCAGGTGGACGATAAATATGAGGTGAATCAGCCCTGCTTTTACTTTCATTCAACCCAGATGACTCACCTGTAATGAACCTAGGTGGTGGTGGCCCGGATAAGTGATTGTTCCAAGCAACTGATTCAGACAGCTGCTAGTCAAAAAATTAAAAAAAGCCAATGTAGGACATATTTACTGCAGTTGCAATTTCGGTATGCTCTCGTCGCAGAATTACATTTAAATTTGTACGGAATCCAAAAAATATCTGCTCTGTGCTGTACTTGAGTCAGCAGAAAAGTGAGTCAAAATAATCCGAAAGTTTCAGCCTGTAATTTTCAGGGGTAAAGAAAACAGGTTTGGCAAGATCTATTTACTAACGTCAGTGATGAAGGCAGTAAACACGCTGAAGTCTAAACCCGTATAACCTGAAAGTCGATGATAAACTTCATCAGTCGGTTTTTACCGACACCCTGTAAAATCTTCCAGGTGGACGATAAATATGAGGTGAATCAGCCCTGCTTTTACTTTCATTCAACCCAGATGACTCACCTGTAATGAACCTAGGTGGTGGTGGCCCGGATAAGTGATTGTTCCAAGCAACTGATTCAGACAGCTGCTAGTCAAAAAATTAAAAAAAGCCAATGTAGGACATATTTATTGCAGTTGCAATTTCGGTATGCTCTCGTCGCAGAATTACATTTAAATAATATAAAGTTTTAAAATAAGAGTAGGTTGCAATACCTGAAACAGCACACAGTGCTGCTTTTCATACGTTAGAAGTAACAAAAGCAGGCTAGAAATGACAATTCATTTTTATCAGATGGGGTCAACGCTCATTCCGGGGTTTCATAAACTGTCATTTGGATATAATGCTACTAACCCTCCGTTACTCACAACTACGCTCCCCAATAACGCACTGATGATGTCACCTCGATTGGTTGTGAAACGTTTGCAATCAAATTACCCAGCTCAGCCACCAAGCCAAAGACCATCTACGCTACCTGAGCTGCCGACATTTTCCTCTATAGAATGCCGTTCAATACTGCTCAACACTACGTGCTAGAACCTGGGCAAAATGTCTCTAAATTCTGTTGAACATGTTAGTGTGTTCATCTTCCCTTTGTTCGGTTCCATTTTGCAATCGACTCAAGATCGATACATTCAAATTTTCCGAGACCTGTGACACCTTTGCTATTTGGGGCTTAGTTTTCTCACAAACAGGCCTGATGTATTCCAGTGGGATACTGGTGTAAAAAAGACAGAGATGTAGACTTTGGACATTTGATTTTCGAGGCCGGTGCGACACCGCTGCAATGCTAGTGCAGGCCGTACTCTGCGGGCTAAATTCCTGAAGGGTGATGAGTGAGTGTTTTCGGTGAATGTACGACAGTTAGAAAAACCCCTAATCAGGTGGTGCTAAGGACATTTGTAACCGCGGTGGTTTACATCGCCAGAGTTTTACTTCAATAAAGCATGTTCATATATCACCGGAAATCTATCGCTTGTGGCTTCGATTCAGTGGTAACTTTCATCACATAGTGACCGACAAAGAGTCTGATATTTGAGTAGATTAGATGGAATTCTCTAAAACAATTTTTTGCGGACAACCACTCATTAAGTTGGAAAATTTCGCCACAGATAGAATTTTCGTTTGTGTATATTTTTCTCTGCCTCATGCTATACAAAAAACGTCCATTCCAACGCCAATCACATTTTCAGTATGACAAGTCTAGTTGTATCGACCTATGAGCTGGTCAGTTTTTCAAAGTCCCTTTATCCCACGTCAAATTTATTCAGGACAAATTCCTTTCACTGCTTAGCTATGCACTTAATGAGAATGATGCTGTAAGAGAGTAGTGATGAGAATTGATGATTGGTTTGCGAATGAACGCATTTCGCCGATTGCACACCGTTTGTTCCTTCCATTGAACACAAGAGTGATGGAACTTGCCTACCTGATGAACCTCAAGAACACCGAAGCCGTTAATAACGTACCGAGAAGTTTCAGAAACCAATTGGACAGGATGTCGTGTCAAGAATGCTCAATTCGGTTTCCTACATCCATTCCCACCAGTACGGAATGCTTAAGGAAACTGGGAACAGCTAGCTGCGTTTGGTCCGCCGTGGTCAGACTGCCGAAACACAAAAAGACCGTGAGACACGTGCGCTGGGGCACAGCGATCTTAACGTCTGCGTGATTCCGTGGACTGACTAAGAGGTCTGTTGTGGCTAAACTTACTAACTAGGTTGCACACTCTCTGTAGCTGCAGACACACCGACATGTGTGCCGATAAATTTTGTCCACGGTCTGTCCGTCCCTCGATCGATCATATATGAATGTGTTGGGTGTACTTTTCGCTGACAGCCGGTATTCTCGGTCGGGGCCGACATCGCGTGGCCAACAAGGCGTCAGACGTCTGAGTCACCTTCGTTAACGTCACGAGTGGCAACTTACGGTTCGGTTGGGGCAAAATCCAATTTTCAGCCTCCGAACATGGTGGGTTGCTGGCTCAATGTGTTGTTGCTCCTTGGTTTGTGGCAAACAGAAGCGCAATTTCTTCACTCCATTCATGGTATTCTTCGACCGGCACAACCAGCCGTGGTACGTAGATGGACAGTTTTCACCGGGAAACGAGTAGTACTGAACTGCTCTGTCGAACTACCGCTGGAGATTAATCCACAACAGGTACAATACCGCTGGGAGCGACCAGAGGGCACCCCAATCGGCTACAGCAAGTTATATGTGATCCCAAACGTATCGCTGTCAGACGGTGGTTTGTATGTTTGTCACAGCTCGGCATTTCTCGGATTTTCCGGGGAACAATGGTCACAAAAACACAGGCTACTTTTGGATGTCAGTAAGTCAGTTTGTGAAGACCTACTCATTCGGTTTATGTGAATTTTGTTGTGTTTATTCTGGCGTGAAATCAAATCATCCACACAATTTGAAAGAGTTTCTACTCCTCATGTTTTACTTCCTTCAACCAAGTGGTTCTTAGCGCTAGCTCATCCACACAGACTAACAGAAGGTTCAAACGAAGTTCAAGAGGAACCATCAAATAAACCGAACCGGAAGAACTAGACCCTGGTCTGGACCCAAACACATGTAGGTTTCCCCGCCAACCCAACACTTGTTCAACCACTCTAACACACTAAAATCCCTCGGCCGACACCCAACAGGGATTTCGCTTGACTTAACTGATTGGTTCTCCTTCCGCCTTAAATCCCGACCAACCTCGGAGCCTGACGAATCTATGGTGTCAAAAGCGAAACGTTGTCCAGCCATAAATCTACCGATTTTCACCAAACTTTTTCGAAAACGATAAGTGGTTCTAACTTTTGTACAAGATTTGCACATTCGTCCTTGGAAACCGTCACTCACTGCGTTAACCTCCATTCTCTCCACAACAATGCCACGACTCAGTATCCCTCCTAATACGTAGATGCTCTAGGAAACTGTCTTGGGAACGTTTTTGAGAAGGACTGGCCTGAACGTTAGTTCTACCGTTTCACTCTAGGTTGTTTGCAATCCGCCTAGCCTTGAAATTTTGACAGATCGATAAATATTTTTAGTGGTGAGATGAAAGCATTTTATTTTTTGATGAGAAAAAAGCTCATATTGAGGAGAATTTCAGAAAATTTACGTTTTCTGGTTATTTATGTAGCCACCCAGATTTTGAGCGCCCATATTTTTAATACGCGGAATTAATTAAGCGAATTGAAAACCTCACAGAGTTGAACCACGGATGACAAGTATTTTTTCGATTCAGACTACAAATGAAGGTGTTTTTTCAAATAGTTAGGGGTCACAAGTTCAATCAAATGGCTTGAAATCGGAGGTTAAACAAATGACCTACGGCGTGAAGGCCTCTCTACGATGGAAGCTGCAGACCATTTGTTTGTTGTAACGGGTTGGCAGCTTTACCTGAGTGAATTACGGCCAAACGGCTTGGGGTGCTGGCGGATTTGAGCAATACTACTTGCATACAAACCTTACCTAATCTCAGTGCCTGCTATGGTTCACAACCAGTTATTTTCCCTGACCGAGTACCAGCTCAACTGAGCGGCGCTTTATAGGAGTGTTCTCGATGTAAACGTTACAAAAAACGTGTATGGCAGTAGGTTCAGATTTAAACAAAGCCATGCAGACACAGATTGATATGCAAAAGACAACTGTCCATGTGCCGTCTGCTGACGAAGTAATCATAGTAATTAGTTAGGTAAAGAGGCTGAAACTTCAAGGAACCCACTTCCCCGCAACAATCCTGGCTCCTACGCTAACAAGCTCTCGGTGAAGATTTTCATCATTCTCTCAGTAAAACAATGGACAGAGCTCCAATTCTGTTCCAAAGGTTGGTTTCCCGCTTACAAACTATGAGAAAACGCAGGAGCTCGGGGAGTTTCATGTCCAGGACATGTGACAAAGCGTCTGTTTCCAAGTCCTACGAGATTTGATGGGAATTTGAGCCTCATGGAAGTGGTGCAGAAGAAAAGGCAACTACTCGAGTTTGGTTACTGAGGTAGAAATGTCATTGACACAACGGCCACAATAATGTGCTTTCAACGGGAATCTTGAAAGCACATCCATCTATGGCTTGCGCTACTAGAGGAGTAACGAAATAACCGCTTCGCATGTCAAAAGTTTCGGTGGTGAGGGTAAAATGCAATAGTAACGAAACTAAATTCACTCTGGTTTTCACTTTTTGATGTGGATAATTGTGTTGAGAGTTTTTCAAAAAAGAGCGCAAACTATCTTTCATTGTTAATTGTCGTATTTTTGCTTTGAAATGTTTGGGGAAAAAACCGGTGAAATAATCCTTGGTAGATAGCACTGTCTTGAGAATTTTTACAGTCGATTTTCTCAGTAAAGGCCATGCTATTTTTATGTTTGACTTTGGTTTTACCGCTAAATGTCATACCAGTAATTTGTTACAAACTGATTTACGTAGAATTTCGGACGCCCGTTAACATGACACTCGGCGAGTTTCGATTGCGTTCCTGGTCGCCACTTGCTGAAGCCAGGTGGATATATATGGGGTACGTAGCAGGGTAACGAGCATGTTCCCCTGAACGCTTGATATGAATATATGACCCCATCTACTGATAGACATTCCTGAAGTCGGATTGCCAGATGTCAACTGTCTTGAAAAAGCTTGAATGTAACCAAGACATATTTGTTAACACGACTGTTTCTCATATTCTCGCCCAGCTATAACATCACCAAAGCAAGAGTCCTGTGAGTATGAATAAGATATTTTATAAGCCAGTCGATTGGTTGCAAGAGCTGGCACATTAAGACTACACTACGTACGTACACTACGTAAGAGTAGTCAACCATATGGTTATTTATTCTAACTTAAATAGTTAGTCATAAAAATAAAATAGTCTACCGCTCTTTCGGTCCCTAGCTGCCATCCCACCCGAAGGAAGCACGAGGGCTGGGATACTGCCAGGTTGTCCAGGCCTAGACAGGAGCAGTCGAGATGCAGAGGTCGACTTTGAACCTCTGACCTTTGCGCTCTGAGCCATCTCGGTAACGAGTCATCGGGGAGCATTTTTTGTTGTGTAGTATACAGGCTATGAAAGCACCAGGGAAAAGTGATTCTCCGGACGTAGGGGTTCACAAAAATTTCCGTGCATAGAAGACAGAAGAGAGACCATGAGCCAAAGCCCAGGAAGCACGGTTTCACTTCACCAATAGTTACATATAAAGTGATCAAACTAGCAGACACCGTATAGTACAGATGTAACTGATCCAGAAAAGTTGCTGCAATACTGCTGGGCAAGGCAAAGCTGGCGTATGACACCCGTACTTTCGTCTATAAAGGCTAATTATAGTGCCCATTATTGGACTATCATGCTTAGGCCGATAGCGACTGTCACCATTACTCCCTCATATATGCCTAGTTTATGTTGCCTTCAATAACGGGTGTGTAATATCGAATAAGGTTGCGAGCGAAATACAAGCGGTCTGATTACTTTATACGCAAGAGTCCTATGAATCNGTGCCTCATTCTGCGAAGGAGCCTGATAAGAACCACCTCTATGCTTTGTTGCCCTAATATTTTGAAAAGATGTTGATTTTTAGAAAAAAATTCAGTTTGTCCTTTATTCAAGCGACTGTTTAATGCTTCCCTAGCTGAATTGTACGTTGCAAACCCGTTTGGTTTATTTTCGATTTTTTGATTACCAACGGTAAAGTACAGTAAGAACTCCTTTAACCCAACACCGACAACAAAGTTTATGCAACGTTGCGTGTACTTTATGTATAGATTTGATAAATACTATATTGGAATTTCTAATTATTAGTTTTTGAACATTTAAGCCGTGGTGGTCCAACCGTCATGTTCCTGAGCGGTTAGAACCGTAGTTCTCAGTAAAATAGTTCAAAGTCAACAAACGCATAATTTATGCATGAGTAGTCAAATTATTCGTTTCATCATCCAAAACAACTCAGCTATGAGACTGTAACGGAAGCCAAAGTTAAGCAACATCGCTCTCTAGCCATCCCCTTTTACAAAACAACATCCTAAAGGACAGTATTGTATATTTTGAAAAAAATTTTATCCCTTGTTATTAGGCTACTGTACACCACCTTCGTAGAAATACATTGAAAAACTCAGGCCAAACGAAGTGGTTAGCTAGACAAACCGTTTCTGGTGTTATCATAAAAACAATTACCGCTTAATGGGTTCCGTTTGGAAAAAAAAATAGCGAGTTTTACTTGGGTGTGTTGGCAGTTTTGTGCCGATGTGCTCACCTGACGACCCACGATAATCACTTGTGTTTTATCTGCTGATTCGCCAATCTGTTGTATCTGACTGCTGACCCGCTCCGGTGCCTAGTGCCGGAAAAAAGACTCACAGAAGGGAACACAACAGCTATATTCCGAAAAAGCGAGTGTGAGAGCGTGAGTGCTCGCGAGTGCGAGAATACAACGGTCTCAAGCTATTTATTGGAGGGACACTGTCTGAACTTGGTCCAATGCTGACGCGCGCGATATGGCTTTGGTTGGAGGATGCGACACGCTGCATATTGCCGGGGCGTTGTTTGACCTTGATCTGGAGGATGCAACGCGCTGCATAGTGCCGTGGCGTTGTTTGACCTTGATCAACACTGACTCTTGCTTCCTGGGTTTCATGCAAGCCTGTGAAGGAGGGCGCTGTCTGTATGGTCGATATCTAGAGGAGCTGAGAGTCTTAGTAGATGTCTGGAATTGAGTGATTGCTTTCATGAATCTGGCCTTCCAGATTGCTTGCTCAATGCATTGATCGGCACCAGCTTTGTATCCGGAAATTGGGGAAGATTGGCGATTTTCGTTCATAGTTTAAGTTCCTAGGCGTTTCGTGGAATCAGTGTCTCTGGTGGCCATCCGGAGATCGGTGGCCGGTGGATCTTGTTGAATCTCTCTCTAATGATGTTCTTACTCGGCTGAATGTGCTGTACAAGACCGCCTCAGCCAGGGTAACACTCATTTGAACACTAATTTTGACTTACATAGACTTGACAGAATCACCTCAGCTGAAAGTCGTCTGTGATTTTCTTAAACAGGGTGTACTTCACAAAGGCCGTCTCGGTGGGTTTGGTATTCTGGTTACCTCAGTAGATTATAGGGACGGAACTTATTGCCCATAAGGTGAGTACCATACACCGGAGCTGCAGCCGAGATTCGGTTGAACCCTCTGTTAACAACAATGTGTTGGGAAATGAGAATATTTCTCCAGGTGCGTAAAATTTGTGTTCAAGCAAAATATAATGTTGAAAGAAACTCAGTGAATATGCCTATGTGATGAGTTCGAAGAAGGACGAGACCGGTTGTGGGTTGTCAAGGATGTCTTAGCAACTTCGAGTGTCATGC